TTATAAAGTAATAAATAATCAAATAAAAAATATAAAAGTGCGGAAAAGAATGCAAAAAAAGATTCATTCAAACCTGCTTCATAATCTCAACGTTCGTGTCGATTGAATCCGGAATAATACTATCGAAAATTGCCAGCATGCGTTCGACAGGAAAAGCCACAGGGCCTAAAAGTTGCTGGCGAAGCTAAATAAAGCAATAACAATCCGTATCAGTTTATATATACCTGCGTGTGTGCGTATCTTTGCCACGTAAATGTGAATCTCACGCAATATTTCCAGGTCTACAATTTATATTAGTGAATACCTTTCCACCACCTGGGATATCATGAGAATTTTTGACCGGACTTTTCTTGGGACTTCCTTTCTGCGATTGGTTGGTTTTTCTACGATATGTGCGTAATGTTTCTTCGGAGCCCTTGGCAAAGTATCGTTTGTCAAGACGTGCTGGATTATATGATGCTAGGAAAGACGCGATTAGCAGTAGTTTGGTGTAATATGGTAAATCAATGCCTATATTAAAAAAAAATTGATGATTTTCTGTGAATAAAAAGAAAATGAGTCATTAACTATAGTTAGACTATAAATAAATTACCGCAATCATCAATTTGCGTGCTTTGAGACCATCCAGAACTTGATATCTCATTTAGATGCAGTTTGTCCATTGCCTGTTTGTAATAAGGCTGAATATGTTGAATTAGCGTTAAGGTGTCCCCTTTTTTGGCTTATTAAATATAATTTTATATATTAATTCTGGATAAAAGATAAGCACGAAAACAAGAACAACAAATGATAGAAAAAAGACGAAGATGATCATGAAATTTCTTATCTTACCCCAACCCTTTACAACAGGTTCAATATACTTTGGCAACAACGAAAATGCCAACTGAAACATCTCACAGAGATTTTTGCAATTACCATTACACACATCGTATAAGAATCTCACAAAACCCAAGAAAAAGTCGAGGTCGACGTTGTTTGGGCAATGTTTGGAAAATATTTTCAGTATATCCTGTATTATAGTTGATGACGGTCAAGAAATATTTGTTGCTTTGGAGGTGGATGAATTCAGAATAAAAAAGAAGGAAAAGGATATCCTCCGAGTATTCGGTAAATAGTATTTGCAGAGGTGCGTAAAAAAAAGACCCTATAATGAAATGTTCCCATGGGATGTTGCTGATTAGAATCACACAAATGTTTTGTCCGGTCTTTCTTTACCCGTTTTTCGGTTCACATAATTAAAATAATCAATTATTATTAATGAAGATGAGGAATACGATTGTAATATGGTGTAAGGTACTAACCAATTCCCTCAGCTTCATCAAAGTAGGTAATAATGTATCTGGAGATTTATCACGTAATCGCTCAGCATGATCAAATATCTTTTTTTAAATACCAATGTTTCAAGTTAAAAATGATGCATCATGCATAACAAATCCCAACGCTAAAAAAACATACCAAATACCGCGTTTCATCAGCATCCTCTCCCAATTGACAACACTCCCTAACCTTGACCACAAACTCTTTTAAATTCACGCATTTCTGACTTTTATACCTGTTCGCGGGTGTCGGCTTTGTCTGTGTCAAATCGTTCAACACGCGCTGGTACATAATCCGCGGCTCGAAGCATACAATACAATCGATAAAAGAATATTGGTGAGGTGGTAGAACGAGCTTCATGAGGGATTTTACGAGTGTTGTTTTTCCTAAGGAGTGATCTCCGTATATGTAGATTGCGGGAGGTGTTTGTTCTTGAGGCTGTACAGAATTTTATCAGCAGATAAGAGTAATTAATGCTTTGTGTATTAATTGTGCTAGTAGGTATGAATTTTTGTTTGAACATGCTGGTACCTCGCCCATTAGACCTAACAGCGTTTCTATTTGCTGTTTACGACCCGGAAACATTTCACAGAGTTTAGTATTTATCTGCTCCATTTTTTATTCAAGAAGAAATTTATTAAACATCAATTTATGGGAACACGTCAAAAAGAATTTCAATGAACATATAAAAACGCGTCAAAAAATGGTGATACAAAATGTTCGTGCAACTAGGTAATTTAAAAATTTCCTATTTTATTATGATCATGACAATTTTACAATTTTCATTAGAAATAATAAGTAAAATAGAACTCTTTAATTTTATATCAAATAAGAACACATTTCCAAAAATGATTTGATGTTTAGTTTGTTAGTTGATTACGCGTATTCTGTAAATTTGGTGTGGCCTACGTAAATAAAAAAAATATTGAATCACGTATATTATATATATAGGATCACAAAGAATTAAATTATATTCTCATTTACCTGTTTCTTGAGCATGTTGAGTAGCTTCTTTCTCACCTAAAATTATATATTAACATTTTGAGATGTCTTGATAGATCGGGGTTCATTATTCAATACTTTATGATTCAAATAACTCACCTACAATCCCTTTATTACATTCACCACAGAGTAATGTGAAATCAGCGGTATACGTATACATGTGTAACTATAAAAAATAACTGATTTAATTTTTTTCTTCAACAATCCATTATGCAAATTCCGGATACATAAATTCATCGTACCTCTTTCATCTTCCTTGCAACAGCAATCGCAGATCCAATAACATAATCCTCAGAAGCTTTGAAGATTGTCTGATCGTATTCTTCACTGGCTTCCAATGATGGAGTTAATGCTAATGCATCATAATCTTATAGAAAGCAAACGTATGATGAAGAAGGATTTACATAAGGTTGAATGAATCTCGAAATCTAGAATAAAAATTTTACGTACGGATGCCACTAAAAATAATCTACACGTTAGAAAGCGATGGATTTACAACGCGGAAAAAGAAGGAATTAAATCAATAAGCATATATACCTGTAAATCAAATACACGCATTGATCGTATTTTCCATGACCTATATAAATTTACAACAAATTTACCGAAAATTATATTTCATGTATTTGCAATAAAAGACGAATATACCTATCAAAATAAAATATTAAAGATAAAAAAACCACACCACATACCATATCGATCAATCCGCCCAGTCTTCACATCAACACTTCGAATCTCCACTTTATAATGTGCTGAAAATATCGCGAGCTCAATGGCACCGCCCCAACTGTTCGGCTGAGCGATCCATTTACAGTATTCTTCGCGTGGTCGCTCGAGAAATACGTCCGGGTATGTCTCTGGCTCGGTTTGCACATGATCGATTATTACTTTTATGATGAAAAAATTTTTTCAGTGAACTAATTAAAAGACGCATAATTTAGGTGATGAAGAGTAAATAATTCAAGTACTTTGTCGTAAACTTTGAGCCATTTGGGGTGATCTCTCGAGCACATAACTTTACTAGCACAAAGATGTTTGAATTGGATTACGATATGAAAAACAAAAATCAATAAGGAACTTTGAAAAGTACCCTAGAAAAAAATTTGTACAAAAAGATCTAATTAACCAAAGTACCATTATTTTATATTTTTGCGAGAAATTGAATTACTTGCCAATTGCACGAAAGAGACAAGAGTTATCGTCTTCCATTTGCTACACGTAAACAATGCATCAATTGATTAGCAAATTAATTCAGTGAAAACATTGTAAATTTTATATATATATATATATGCAAATGTGTGTGTATACACACCCTAAGCGCAATAATCCCATGATCGGATGCAACTGAAATGACCTCTTTACGAGATTTGTTTTTTTCGCGTTCAATAGTCATCTTTGCCGCCTCGTTTTTCGCAGAAATCTCATTCAAAATGACCACATCGCCATTCTTGATTCCTGCAGCGGATATGGTCGTTGTTCCGCTTATTGACGCGACGGATGGTGGATAGCCAATTCTTACTATTTTTGATCATGTCCATGATAACAAGAGATCCGTTGAAACATTAATTCATTAAACATTTATTATATATATATATATATGGGAAAAAGGGGTTATTATGACGAAGAGGGTATCGTGACGTCGATGGGTATTATGAAGAAGTTAATGCCATATTATATCAAAAAAATGCATTTCAATAATTATGTCTACTACACATTTTGTTAACGACATTTTTTTATATGCGTGATACCTTTCGAGATATTGTGATTTCGTCACAATTTCTCTCCTTCATCATAATACTCCCTTTTTCCCTTACATTATTCTCAAATTTCTCCCTGAATATATCTATGTATGAAGCTATAAGTAACGTGCAAGATATCCATACTTTCTTGCTTCTCAGGTGGAATGCCAGTGCGTTCCTGTATAGCTCTCTTCAATTCCTCAAAGGTTGACTGCTCAGTCAACTCTGTCACACCAAATAGATCGTTAATATGTCGAACTTTTATTTGCAACATTACTTAGGAAAAAGAAGATACAGATAAAACGCCAACAAACAAGAAATTTGGCTTGCGACCTTAAACCAACGTGTTCGAATGGATATTTATAATACCCAAAGGTTTACACCGATGACATCATTATCGTACGAGTGTCCCTAAAATCAACGCGTTCTTTCAGGCAAGGTTTTATTCAGCCAATTAGTCAGTTCAAATGTTTACACGCCATTGACGCAGATAAAATCAGATGATATTTATGGTTTAAATTAAATGCTTTTTTCCTTATATACAATAAAGCCAATAATTAATGATATCACAAAGACCAAGATAGGTAACTTTAATGATGATGATGATGATGGAGGAGATTCAATCACCAAACGTCTCAAAATATCTTCCAGAGTATCAATAAAAACGGTCAGCGAGAATAAACTTTGCACGCGTTTTCGTCCTTGCTCGCCCATAACTTTACAATCAAATTCATTACCAGACAATAATTTAGCAATTGATTGTGAGAAAGCTTCAGGTGTCGGATCGCACAAAAATCCCGTGACCTTATCTAGGATAGACTCTGTTGGTCCACCGCTATTCACAGCTATAACTGGCAGGCTGGCGTACATTGATTCCACGGGGACAATGCCGAAATGCTCATTTGATGGGGTATAAAGAAGACAGATGGCACGTGAAAGAAGAAACGTACGTTGTGCTTCAGAAAATGAGCATAGGAAAATTATTTGGGCTTCTGAAGGTGGAACATCTTTTTCTCTACCACCGGGGCTTATGGTAAAATTTGAAAGCCCAAGCCTGGAAGCTAGTTTTTCCAGTTCTAAATGATGTTCAACGTTTTCTTTTACACGATAATCGTAGCCTCCTAAAGTAAGTAATTTATTATATTGTAAGTCGAATATATCGATCATACCCAAAAAGATCGTACATTTAAAAAATAATGATTCACCGGCTATTATTAATCGCAGATTTTGAAATTCCGTAGAAGGCACTAAATGATTGTCACGTAATGCAGCAAAAGCATTGATAGCTAATGCTATATTCTTTTTTCTCTCGAATCTGTTTATCGAAATTATCAGTTTTTTGGAACTATTTTATGAAAACAAGAAAAAATGGTTTATGTGAGCCATAAATTCAATTTTCTTTGATTCAGAATGAATGAATGAATGAAATAATAATTTTTCAAACCTCTCTAGGATTTTCACTGACTCATCATTCAAGTCTACAGCTTTATCATACGAAGTAAAGTGTATTCCTGGATAAAGTACTTCCGGACGCTGTTTTATCGATGGAAACGAGTCACGAAAAACATTGGCAGTGAATTTACTGTTAACTACTATAGCATCCGCCATACCTATAGAGATCATTATTTAGGAATGATTATTACGAATAAGAATACAGAAAATGAATAATAGAGGAGACAAACTAACCAGTTGTCATCTCTTCAAACTTATCAACAGGCATTCTATACAATTTCTTCAAAATGGATCCACGCCCCGTCAACAATTTGTCCGGAAAGTGGCAATAAAATAAAATCTAAAGAAATTCTATTAATTAGAGTTAAAAATAGTCATCTTATCTATCCTAAACTAGAGCATTACTCACTGAAAGTTCAAATCAGAATAATTATCAAGGATTAATCTATTCATTTTCATTTACCTTCGCTCCAGTAAATTTCAATAACGGAATATTAGCCGACAACTGGTCAATGAAGATAACATCGATCTTTGGTCTATCCCACAAAAGTAAAGTGAGAGCCAAATGAAATTGTCGCAGCATTGCACAAATTATGTAAAATGAACCAAAGAAAGTTCGTGGTATAAGCCAGTTCCCGCGCACATTAACGTTAAGCAAGCCTAATAATTTGCAGGCATGTGATGATAAGTAATTTGAGCCGGGAAAACACAAAAGTAAGAAACGGTAATACTTGCCATTTCTAGTTTCTTCGAAACAATGAGTTGGGTCATGGTACGACGTGTATATACTTATCTTATGTCCTCTCTCTTGTAAGCCCACTGCTGCATCCACCACAAGGCGTTCTGCACCACCTTTTCAAGAAAACAAGGATGAATTTCATGCATAAAAAGACAGAATAAAGGTCCATTTACCTATTCCGAGATCTGGATGCACAAAGACAATATTTAAAGCTCTGGATGTTGACATTTTGATAAATGTAGATGTTGTTTCAATGACTAATTAAAGTGGATTGTCACGCGACTATACACACTCCGATCTGTGTCCGTAATTTGCCGCATAAATAACCCCCGAGAATCTGGTGTATGGGAAGTGAGTCAGTCAAACCTCGTTAAGCCGAAGTGGTCGGTGCTATTAGTATTTGAAAAATTCGGTTTACCTAGGAGATTTACTATAACTGTTCCCAGAGTTATCGAGGTTTTAATTAGTGCTTCGGTCTTTGTATATGGAGGGTCTTGTGGAAACAGCCAATTAGAAAGAAGTGTAGTCAAATGTAAAAATTTTCAATCCCCAATGGTGGCGGAGTACGTGGTTTTTCTTTAGTGATGGGGACTTCAAGCCCACACTATATAGACCCGGACAATAAATTCGTTACATTTTATCACGAAGGTTAATTAGTAAAAAATAGAAAATTAATAAAAGGGGAGGGGGATACATTACATTCTCCATATATTTTCAATTGGATTTTGTTTGGAAAGCATTGATGGCCAAGAAAGTTCTATAATATTATTTTCAGCCTTCCATTTTTTGGCTATTTTTGATATATATAGCACACATAAAACTAGCATCGAGATTTCTCTGAAAACATATAAACGTGATACTGAAAAATAACACCACATTTACTTTTATTGATCAATTCAGATGAAAAGGTAAAAATTACTTTATCCCAATTTTATATATTTTTTCCATCCATTGCAACTGTTTAATTCGATGCTCACCTGTAATGATTTGCATATTGGATAGTTAAAGTTTGAGCCTTCATTTCCAGTTGGATTCAGTAGATGTTATATTTTTTTCAGATTTGTCCTGTTCAATGATTGTAATGCGCTATCTACCCCACTTTTGATTCTTTATTGAAATCTCACTAATGATTTACAGTGCTTTTAGAACATTTGACATTTCAAAGTTTCGAACCATTAGGATGGTGGTGCAAAAAATGCAATTTCATACGCATATAGATTGAAAGTGGCATTACTTCTTAGAAAGGACACAGATGCAATACGATATTATATGAGACAAAAAAATCATTGTTTCATACTTCTCTTTTGTTAATTTACGATTGTTAAACTTTAGGGGGTATATATGCAATCTCCATATCAAGCTAGAGATGTTCGGTTACTCTGTCCATGACTGTATGCATTACCGTAATTTTGCCGGAGCGTAAGCGAAGGACTATATATTATTCTGAAAAATTGATTGTCACGTGGAATTTCCGGTTGTCACGCCACGTGACTGGTTTTAAATAAATAAACCAATTAAAAAAATTTATCGCTCCGGCCTAGTTTTTATTACGATGAACAATCCACTATACTATATATGATTATATGATCTATCACGGGGTCTGTTAACGTCTAGAGATTGGACCGTAATATTTCCAGTATGGAAGTCACGATGTACTGTTACTAGAATAGCAAGAATAAAAAATAATAGTTATAATAATCATAGTCCAAAAAACAAACTACATCCAAATTAGAACAATTAATACATTTGGACTTATATGAACATTAATTTTTATTTTTCCTTATTTTTTTATTTTTTATTGCATTAATTTTTTTACGAGTAGAATTTTTGTTCAATTCAACATTGGATCATCAGATCAACTGCATATTAAATAATAGGAACAATTTTGGGTACAATGTTTGATGCATTGGACCACTTCGTAAAAGATGGAGAATAGTTTAAACTCTGGA